TTTTCTCTCTCTGTTAGCGCTGGAGGAAGGTCCTTGTCATCAGTCTTCCCTTGATCTGGGAGCATCTCAGCACAGGAACCTCAGGTCTAAAGGACGCACTCTGCTCCCGGCGCTGTTTTCTTGGTGGTATGAGGTCCCCATGTCTCTCTGCTCGCTTCTCTCTTTTATATCTCAAAAGAGATTGGCTTAAGACACTATCTAATCTTGTAGACCTCATCAATATAACTGCCACTAATCCATCTTATTACATCATAGTGATAGGATTTACAACACATAGGGAAATCAATCATACAATATTGGGAATGATGACCCAGCCAAGTTGACAGATATTTTTGGTGGACACAATTCAATCCGTGACAATATGCTCGTAAAATAAGGAAAAAAGTTGATCTTTGAAGTCCCATCTAGTTCCAAAATAGGCTTATTTCTGATGTTAAAGGTGCTAGCATGAGAGAAGAAGTCCTTAGGTGGTGCAAATGGTAAAGTGCTCAACTACGAGCCGAAAGGTTGGTGGTTCGAACGCATCCAGAAGTGCTTTGGAAGACAGGCCTGGTGATCGGCTTCCAAAAGGTCACAGCTTTGGAAACCCTATGGTGCAGCTCTAGCCTGCACACAAGGGGTCGCCATGAGTCAGAACCAACTTGACAGCACCCAGCAACAACAAACATGAGAGAGGAGTTCCTGGATGGTGCAAACAGTTAAGGTACTTGGCTGCTAACCAAGAGGCTGGAGGTTCGAGTCCACTCAGAGGTGCCTTGGAAGAAAGGCCTGATAATCTACTGAAAAATCAGCCACTGAAAACTCTATGGAGCACAGTTCTACTCTGACACATGTGGTGCGCCATGAGTAGGGAGGTGACAGGACAGCAATTGGTGGTAGCATGAGACAATGGTTTGAAAGTTGTAAAACCCACTGTATCCACTAGGGAGCAGTTCATGCCCAAGGAAATCCAAATTGGGCTACTGTGCTCAACCATTTGTACTTTTACATTCATTTTTCTCTAATTCCTACAGCCCCAGCCTCCACTTAAAAAAAAAAAAAAAAGAAAAAAAAAGAAAAAAAAAGAAGCAAGCTCTGCAGATATTTATTAAAAACTAAAACACGTTTTAATGAGAAGCCTATTCTTAAAGTCTGTGTTTCCAGAGTTAATTTAGATAAATACAGTTACTCTTTTCACACTAGCATTACACAATGGTAGCTTTCTGTTTGGGATCCACACACCCCTCCCCCCCTTTATTTTTAAATACCTCAGTCTTTGGCATGAAAATGCCAACCCCTTTCCGCTTTATTATATATATATATATATATATATATATATATATATATATACACAATGATCTCATTTGATTTCCACTTTTTCCGAAACTGCACCATCGAGCAAGTGATATATTAGTCATGCTCTCCTTTTTTCCACTGAAAGTAATAAACACAAGCAATTATCAAGGGCAAATATTTAGGTACCTAAATGTGGGAAGAAAAACTGGTCATAAAATAGATCTAGTTCTGTTTCTTTCTGTTAAACTTATTAACTTATATTTTGTAGGATGAAATGGTGACCTTAAATCATAACGTCTGGACTTTTAGTCAAGTAGTCTAAAAGAATCCATAAATTTAACTCGTAAAGGCTCTGTTTATATGTTAGGCAATTAGCTTCATTTTGATTAACTGCAAGTTATTTCCTTGGTATGATCCATATTTGCTCAATTGAGGAAGTGATAGACACACTTATCCAAACTGTGTGCATAGCCCAGCACCTCAGCAATGTTCCTGTGACTAATGGAAGAGATAATATCTGCCCAGATGCTTCCTTGCTGGTAAAGAGACAGATAAAGGCAGGCAAAGAGAGACAGAGAAAAAAAAGAGAAAGAGAAAGAGATCTCCCTTCAGTCATTCACGTTCATGTAATTTCAGTTTGTTAAAAAAACAAGGAACCTGGTTTGAAGGTTTAGTCATGGTCTCATGGGACGTCCCAGTTAATTGGCCTAATAACATGTTGAGTGCTTCTGTTCCCCCTCCTGGTTCATTCTTAGTACCTGCTATTAAAAGCTTGTAAGTGGCCATCCAAGGCACAACAATTGATACCTATTTGCTTGGAGCAACAGAGGAAGAAGGGAAGTCAGGAATAGGAGGAAGAAATGGAATGTGCGGCTAATGGCCTCCATGAACAACTGCTTCCTCTGCCACGAGACCAGAAGAACTGGATGGCACCTGGCTACCATTACTGAACATTTTGATGAAAGGTTCTATAGAATCCTGATCAAAAGGGGGAAAAATGGAGAACAGAATTTAGAATTCTCATGAACTCCAGGCTTTCTGGAGCCATGGGGGTTTGATAACCTCTGAACTATTGCCCTGAGATAATCTTTAAACCTTGAACCAAAAATATCCTCAGCTGTCTTCTTAAAAGCAAACAATAGTTTAGCTTAACTAGTAAAAAATGTCTTCATTGAGCATTATGCTCTTTTAAAAACTATCTATATGGGATCAAACAGACAACAGCAACTGGGAAGATCAGATAGGAACCTTACGGGCAGTGAGTTTATGTTAATGGGGGAGGAAGAACTCAGAAAAGGAGGGTGAGAATGGTTGCACAACTGGAAGAATGTAATTAATGTCCCTAAACAGCACACATTCAAACAGTTGTATTGGTGTATATTTTGCTGTGTATATTCTCAACAACAAAATTAAATTAAATTAAAAAAAAAAACAAAAACCCAGGAACCAAAAACATAAAAACAGAGTAAGAAAAACAAAAAAATTTTAATAAATTAAAACAAGACCATACAAAACAAAGCAAGGAACTATGCACAAGCATAATGGATAAAAAGTGCCAGTAAAAAGAACACCATCCCTGAACATTGTTCTCTGTGTGTGTGCGGCATCTGTAGATATCATTATAGAGTACCCACATCAAAGGGCTGTTGGAAGGTTTCCATGAGACAAGAAAAATCTAAAAAGTTCTTGGCATGGTGTCCAATGCACAGTAATGCTTCCATAAATACAGCCATTGCTTCTTGCTATCTTAAGTCAGATTCCATATGGGAAGAGCTTAAAGGACAATATGAGTATCTCTCAGATGTGCTCTGTTCAGGGGGGCCCTCCATATCCCTTGCCTTGGTTGCCATAATGGGCCTGCTCTGACCCTCCATCCGCTCCCCAATCTCACATACTCCTCCCCACTCTCAGGAGCGGCTTCTCTGACTGTTGAACTGGGGAGATGGAAAAGCGTGCTTGGCCTTTCTAGTCTCTTCTTCATTCTCTGGTGAATGTAGCCACTGGTTACCTGGCTGTACCAGTGACCAGGTGGTTCTGTCTGTCTGTCTAATCTGGGGCTGTAATGTCAGCAAGCCCAACTGCCTGGAGGTCTAACACTGACATACGGTCTCCATCTGCCCTGTGACTCACTTCATCTGAATCTGTAATCCAAAGAGAAAGAAGAGTCTTACTCATTGTCCTCTCCCAAATACCAACACCCCCTTCCCCTTGAAATAATAAAATAATCACTATTTTGCCACAACCGGGAACTAGAAAGCCATCTGAAACAGACGTTGAAATCCTCTTTTACGCTATCGGTCCTCAGTAGTGGATGAGCATCTAGAAGGAAAAATGAATGAACTATTTGCAGGATCCGTGAAAATCTCACTACCAGCGACATCCATCAGGCCTGCTTTGGATACATCTAGGGGAGTTGTGATAGTCAAAAATAGCACTAGAATCTGATTCCACTATAAATAAACAATAAGAAGATCCAATAGGCTATCGCCAGAATTAGGCAATGAGGTCGATTTGAATTAGCTAATGATAAAAATTAAATATTTAAAATAAACATACTCTACTGCTTTTGAGACAGTCCCAAGTAATAAAGTTTTGGATAGTAAGGGTCCTTGTAGTTTATTTTAATAAATGAGTAAAACTCAGATGAAATAGGTACAAGTCCCTTCTCCTCACCAAAAAATAATTAAAATAAATATATCTTATTATTATTACCTTAACATATACTTAGTAAGTCACTTTTCTATAGCTAATTCAAAGGTAAACTTCAGGAAAAATTTTGCCAGATTCTATCTAGAGTAATCTTATCATACTAAAAAGAAACCTTGTTCAAATATATAGCATTTTGATTAACACTCTAGAAAAATCATGGCTAGGCCATGATTCCCAGTACCATGTGGTTGTCTACCATTTTATGATCTGATGTGATTTTCCTAAGTGTTGTAAATCCTACCTCTGTGATGTTAGACTTAGAGGCAGTTATGTTAATGAGGCAGGACTCAATCTACAGGATTAGGTTGTATGTTGAGTCAATCTCTTTTGAGATACAAAAGAGAAGCAAGCAGAGAGGAAGGGGCCCTCCTGCCACCAAGAAAGAACAGCCAGGAGCAAGCGTGTCCTTTGGACCTGGGGTCTCTGTGCTAAGAAGCTCCTAGACCAGGGGAAGATTGATGACAAGGACTTTCCCCCAGAGCCAACACAGACAGAAAGCCTTCCCCTGGAGCTGGCACCCTCAATTTGGACTTCTAGCCTCCTAGACTGTGAGAGAATAAATTTTCTGTTTATTAAAGCCATCCACTTGTGGTATTATAGCAGCACTAGATAACTAAGACAATTTTAGACATGCTTTTCTAAATGAGTTCCTCACATCTTTTGAAAGCTGTACCTGTCAAGGTGTTCAAAATGGGAAACTCCATTTGAGACATTCAGGTACTCATATGGAAGTAAGTGGAAATTCAACTGCCAACTGCTAATGGAGGCAAAATATTTTTTCAGTAACATTCAAAGTACATAAGCAAAGCACGTTTTGTGTCTTCGGGGCTGAATGAGAAAGAGCAGGCAGTGGGACATCAGTGATTGCCAGGGAGTGGAGAAAGCCCCTTTGGTTTTGAACACTGCATCTGGCCTCCACCTTTGCCCCACCTCCACTGTGTTTCATATTGTTGTTTTCAAATTGTTACCTTCACAGGCCTCCATCAGCCCCCTTGTTTACTGCAACGGCCTTTTACCTGATAAGGACGCACTGGTTGTCATGGCGTTTCCACAGGCAGCGGTAGCACTCATTGGCGATGGCGAAGATGTGGGGGGGGATGTCCCCCAGGTGGTGTCTGCTGTACTGCTCCATGGTGGTGCGTTCGTACAGGCCGGGGATCATCTTGTAGGGGTTCACGGAGGCAATGATGGAGCCGATGTAGGTCTGTAAGCACACAGGATTGGGGTTACACATGGCATGAACAGAGAGTCGTGGCGAGGCTCTCACCTCCATCCACTCTGCGACAAGATAAAGAGGAGACCAGGTGCAGCTCGGTGCTGCCGCCCCCTCAGCACCCCAATGTTCCATGTGCCCACTCTCGGAAGACGACAATCTAACTGTAGCTTCAACAAAATCCACTTGACTGGGTGTTAAGGGGAAAGATAACTTCTGTTGCCCACTGTACACATTTTTCCTATCCCACTTTTTGTATAAAATCTTGTCATTCGGTACAAATGAAGGAAGCTGACGAAAGGCAATTGAGAGAAAAGCCAGGGAAGCAGCCCAGGCCTGAATCCCCGTCCCCTGGTGATCTCCCTAACTCTCTTCCTTATTACAAAGACAGTTCCAGTACTTCCTTGTCAGATGGCTATAATGAATGGCATGATTAAAGTAACAAGACCACTTTTGAAAACACAATGAAACCTGTGAAAGGTGGAAACCTGTCAGAGAAGGAAAACACAAATATTTTCCACCAATAGAGAGCAATAGAAAAGTAAGATGGCACCCCATCAAAGGCGGAAGACTTGCCAGACCTAACAAAAAAAGGCAGGCCTACAGACTTCTGGCTCTCACTGGTTTCACTGTACTAGGTTATCCTCTCCAGTAATGTCAAAACCTCATGAAGTGCCACATAACTTACCCGGAACTCAGCTGGCTGACAATTCATGCCAGAAAACTAAGTAAAATCCTCAGAGCAGCAAAACAGAGGCCACCAGGTTACTACAGTGCATGCCTTATCCTCCCCCAATAGGGACATAACTACAGTGAAATCTGCGAAAGCCAGAATCTGTGTCAGGCAGAAACTTGTTGGAGAAGGAAAACTCAAAGCTAAAAAGTGGTAAGATTCTTCTTAAAGATTAATAGTAAGCACCCCGTCAAAGGCAGAAACCTTGCGACACCCAAAAAACACGGCGGTCCCATTGAGTATCGGCTTTCACAGGTTTCACTGTGTTTACTTAGAGCTCTGCAAGAAGATCCTAACCAAGTATGGCTACTGGATTTCCAGGCCCAGACACAGATGAAGGAGCAAATGAGAGAGGCGTGGAAGTACAGCGCTAGCCAGCTTTCATAGAGTGGGTAGGCTGTGCCAAGCACTTTACCGGGCTAACCTTCTTAACCCTCCCAATAACCCTGAGGTTTTCAGTATTACGACACCTGTTTCAGATGAGGAAGTTGACGCAAGTTGTTGTGTTGCTGTTGTGTGCCATCAATCAGACTTATAGTGACCTTATATAACAGAGTAGAACTGCCCCATAGGGTTTCCTAGGCTGTAATCTTTAAGGGAGCAGATGGTCAAGTCTTTTCTCCCACAGAGCTACTGGTGGGTTTGAACCGCCAACCTTACAGTTCGCAGCCGAGCACTTAACCTTTACACCACCAGGCTTCCTTAGCGGAGGCATAGAGAGAATAAATAATGCATGTACGGTTACACAGCCAGTAAGTGGTAGAGCGGAGATTTGAACCTATGCAGCTGAATTCCAGAGGCTTTTCTCTTCATATTTACCGGTGAGGTGTGGCAATGTGGCAGAGGAAAAGAAAACCTAGAAAAAATACTCAGGAAGGCTAAATGTCCTGAGAGCATCTGTACCATATTACAGGACACTGTAATAATTTGGATTCGCAGTAACTGCCCAGGACCATTAAGTAACATATCATGTGCTTAGTATAACTCTGTTTTCAAATGTAAGGAAGTCTATGTTTTAGAAATATTTTCAGCTAAAAGAGGTTAAAAACAAAAAAGATGGAGTGTTTTCGTGAACAAATGTTCAGCTCTCTGGCAATCTTGACTCTCTAGAAATCTCCATTACTCCTATCAGAGCATGGTGAGGGGGGTTTGGCCAGAAAGAAAGATGGAACCTGTCGGAGAACAGAGAATCACAGGTTCCCTGGAGGATGCCAACCACCCTCCATGGATGCAGTGATCGCAAATGTTCCAGTACCTTCTTTCATGTCAACGAGGAGCAATGCCTGAGGCTACGCATGCCTGCACCTTCTTCTATCTTTGTCTTAAGTGCCAGGCCTGTCTTCTACCCTTTTCTTATTTGTATACACTACTATTGTCTTTCTCCCGTAAAAAAATCAAAAAGGTTCATTTTTACCGTGAAACATGTTCTTAATTTTTTGGCAGAAGTCAAGACAGCCAATACCATCACGCTTTCATACAAATCTAGTAGGTCAACCAAGGAAGCTCACAGGCAAGAATCAACAAAACCAGCTGCAGTTTGAGAAGGATTGTTTGCCCCTTCTCCCCAGAAGAAATACTCTCAGGCCTCTCCTGCAAACTAGAAACCAGTCTCCTGGTGTTGTGGGACTCCTTCGTTGAGTCTCGATGTGTACTGAGCATACTCCGATTCTCTCAGTTACAAGTAGAATGTTGAAGTTAATCTTTTATAAAAGACACCATTAGGGCATCCCCTTGATAGCAGGAATATTTAACTATCATTAACATACCTCTATGCTTAATTGTGCTCATGAGGAACTTGCACACAGATCAAGAGGCAGTCGTTTCAACAGAACAAGGGGATACTGTGTGGTTTAAAGTCAGGAAAGGTGTGCGTCGGGCTGTATCCTTTCACTATACCTATTCAATCTGTATGCTGAGCAAATAATCCAAGCAGCTGGACTCTATGAAGAAAAATGGGGCATCAAAATTGGAGGAAGACTCATTAACAACCTGCGTTAGGCAGATGACACAATCTTGTTTGCTGAAAGTGAAGAGAACTTGAAGCACTTACTGATGAAGATCAAAGACCACAGCCTTCAGTATGGATTACATCTCAACATAAAGAAAACAAAAATCCTAACAACTGGAACAATAAGCAATATTATAATAAATGGAGAAAAAATTGAAGTTGTCAAGGATTTCATTTTACTTGGATCCATAATCAACACCCATGGAACCAGTGGTCACGATATCAAAAGACACATTGCATTGGGCAAATCTGCTGCAAAGGACTTCTTTAAAGTGTTGAAAAGCAAATACTGTCATTTTGAAGACTAAGGTGTGCCTTGACCCAAGCCATGGTGTTTCCGATCGTCTCATGTGCATGCAAAAGCTGGACAATGAATAAGGAAGACTGAAAAAGAACTGATGCGTTTGAATCGTAGTGTTGTCAAAGAATACTGAATATACCATGGACTGCCAAAAGAACGAACAAATCTGTCTT